TATACAAAACTTCGAAGCAAATCATTAAAGTCTAATGTCAGAAACGCAAAAATAAGGAAAAAACTATAAATTTGACCTAGATTTTGACCTAGACATTTTGGTGTCCAAATTTTAAAGCTAGATAGGCTTTTTATAGGCTTTCAGAATGTTAAGCTGTACTCAGTCTACATCTGGTATTTTACACTTCAAAAATTTCCCCCGGTCAAGTACATTTGTCAGAGATTGGAAACAATTTATAATTGTAGTTAGGTTTGCCAAAAAGCTTAGAAGTGACTGTTTTTATCTCTAAATATATAACTGTGTAAACGTTGTCTGACGTCAAGTGACACTATTTAGACTGCCTAATAAATAAATAAAACTGTAACACGTTTTGTGACAAAAGATAGATTTAATAATGCAACAATGTCTGGTACAACAGTGAAAATTCTAAAAACTGTAACACGTTTGGTAACAAGATAAAATATCTAGGTAATAATGCTAAAATGTCTGGTACAACCGTGACCGTGTTAAAAACTGTAACATCCTTTGAAGCAATATATACCCTGTTCAATAATGTAACAATGTCTGGTACAACCGTGACAATGTATAATAATGTAACAGTGTCTGGTACAACCGGGACAATGTTAATTATGTAAAAATATAACGTGCCACGGTTTTTTTGCGCCAGATTCCTGCAGTTTTTGCTAACATTCCCACGGTTGTACCAGACAAAAACCTGCATTTGATCATATCTCGATTCTCCTGACCGGGCGTGTGTTGGGACCTAAAGAGCCAAGATCTGAGCCAGCTCAACCACGGGATCTCTACCAGAGTATGTAGTTCTTTGATTGTATAAGTTTTTTCACATGATTAGTATGATTATAATGGGATATGTGGTCTACACAAGCCTAAAGAGGCAAAAATAAGTCAGGTCCTTCAATTTAAATTTCCAATCAAAATGGCGCATGAATGTTAGATTCTAGATCTAAGCTTACTCTACTTTATTCACTTAATAAAGAGAAGTGTTTATATATCCATTTACCCTTCAAACGGTGACATTTATGCTAATGACTTGACATGTATATGATCCTTACATACCAATACGATCAAAAAAGTTACGTTCATCTACATCTTAGATCTAGGCTAGTGCAGTAAAGTGCACTTTGGATTTTTTTTGCAATTTTGAAAAGTAAACCACTGAATATTCTAGTTATTCAAACATTCTGAAGAATTATCAACTCTAAATTAACAGTCTAGGTACAGTAATGCATCTTTTGTGCAAGAATGAAAGATGTAGATGATGTGTGGAATGAGTAATGTTTATCTGAAATTCGAACATGACTGTATTCACCTTCTATAAACTGTAAACAAAGTCAATGCTTCAGCTGGGTTATATTCGGGATCAATCACCCAGTTAATAACGTGTAATGTGTGACGTCATAACGGTGGGTCTTAGTAATGGCGGACCATGATGAATATTCGAAACAATTTGGTGAGTTTTCATGTTCGAATTGTAATATAGACCTCAGAGCAGGGGCAATATCGTCAAATACACCCCTTGGGTCTAGGCACAAAAGCTTTCGAACTTTCGGGGTACAGAAAATGTTTGTGCTTAGCCCTGCAGGGTGTGTTGGACGATATAACCCCTGCTTTTTGGTCTATATTTCTTAAATAGCACATGGTTGGAAATTTCACCAAAGTGCACCCTGACCTAAAAGTGATTTCCTGGTCAAACTTGCAAAAATTAGTCCAAATTCTCACTTGATCCATCCACTCCCAAAAATATGCATGCGAGGCTCGATGTAAAACATCTGATTGGTTGTTGGTGTAAACAGTAGAGTCGGGGCTATCTGTACGAGGTTCAGTTTTTACTTGGTTTGGTGTTTCATTAAGGGAAGTACTTCATTCCCATGATTCAAAGTGCTTTTCTGCCATTGGTTTGGTTAAAGTTTGTATAACAAACTCAGACACGGGGCGTATCGAAAGCAAAACGCCCCGCAAAACCGTTAATTTGTATTTTAAACCTACCCTTTCTTTGGAAAATCAATGATTGTGAGTCTCACAGTACACCATTTTTCTTCAAACTTGTTCCATTAAAACCTTCACAGAAATACCTTTCACTCGAGACATTGCTTTTGTGTACAGTTGCTCGTTTTAGCGGCGTTTTGGTCCCCAGATGTGAGAAGATGCAAATCTTCAGAGATTTCAACCAAAAGCCTCAATATATCTCCAGTTCTTTTATTATTCTCCCCTATATTTTGCACAAGGACTCCCATTACAACCCTCCATCTCTGCATCAACATATTTATTACATTAAACGCAGCAATTTCCAAAAGTCGTACGCATCTATTTGAAATTGATCAAAACGCCCCGTTCTCTTCCAAAATGGCCCGTTGGATCTATACACCTTGAAACTACACGTTTGTAGTCATAGACTCTGCAGGGCGTTTTGGAAGACAACGGGGCGTTTTGGTGAAGTTCGAACAGTTGCGTAGGACTTTTCAGAATTGCTGCGTTTCATGTAAGGAAACATGTTGATGCAGCGATGGAGGGTTGTAATGGGAGTCCTTGAGCAAAATATGGGGGAGAGTGATAAAAGAACTGGGAAGATATCAAGGATTGTGGTTGAAATCTCTGAGGATTTGCAACTTCTCACATCTGGGGACCAAAACGCCGCTAAAACAAAGGACTTTGTAAACAAAAGCAATGTCTCGACTGAGAGGTATTTCTGTGAAGGTTTTAATGGATCAATTTTGAAGAAAAATGGTGTAGTGTGAGACTCACAATCATTGATTTTCCAAAGACAGGGTAGATTTGAAATTCAAATTAACGGTTTTGCGGGGCGTTTTGGTTTCGATACGCCCCAGTGAGTTACTACTGTGTGGTTAAAGGTTGGTGAAGTTATTATTAATCTAAAGTGCAAACATGGGTGAGAAATGTTTAGATTCCCCAAAATAATAACTATTGTAATATCAATCTCATAGAATAATAATACATTATATTATAAGATTTTTTAGTTTTCCTGAAATAAAGTGTGCACTTTGGGGATTTTTAGAAAATAGACATGACAAGGAATGACATAAGCCAGAAATATTCTAAAATTGAAAAAAAATGGTTCGATTGCTCGTTATATCTGATTCTCTCTTAAAAGAATGAATAAATATTTCTTCACATCATAGTATGGGACAAGCTCAAATCATCATTACCTTCTTCATGTTCAATAACTGTTACAGTGGCGGATCCAGGAACCAACAAGGGGGGGCCCCAAATTTGAGGTCAGAGAAAAAACCTCCACGCTTGCGCGGAAAAAAAATTTGGGCCCCTAAAACCGAAAAGTGGGCCCAAATTTTGAAAATTTGAGGCCCATTTTCTTCAAAATTTGGCTTAAAATTAAAAAAATAAGGCCTTAGAAGGCCCAATAATGACCAAAAGGCCCACTTTTTGGGGCCTTTTTTGGCCTAAAATTTTTTTGGGCCCAACTTTTTTTTTCTGGGCCAACCTTAGGGGGGGGGGGGGGCGGGCCCCATGGGCCCCCCCCCCGGATCCGCCATAGTAACATGACAATTTTCCATTTGTAGTTCTGTCAATTTTGCTATATCAAACAGTTCTCTATATTTTACAAGTGACCCAAGAGGGGCAGCTATTCTAATTTTTCCAGGGGAAGTAGGATAAATGTGCAGATTCAGAAACAGGATGTTTTTGTCAACAATCTCATGTTTAAAATGCAGAGGATGAGTTTTTCCAAAGGATCCAAAAATGTCCCCAAAGGTTTCATTGAAAATAAT